CAAAATTATATAAGTAGGTTGTAATTCTGTAGGTTGCTCAGAAATTCATGAAGTCTTCTCTATAAATCAGCAACTATGAATAACCTTAAAATGACATGACTCTTTCACAATTTCCTTAAAATGTTCTCTAAAATATTGAAAACTAAATCTTTGTTCAGTCTGGTTTGGGCTTCCCCATGAATAAAGTGCTGTGTGACTCTTGCAGAATCATCATATACAGTTTTTGGGGATAAATTGTCTTTTTTGTTTGTGTTTTGACTGTGAAATCATTCCTCACACTTTCATTCTATGTATACAGCTTTTTTTTCTGGCAGAAAGGTGCATCCAGCAATTAAGCATTTTGCAGATAAATATATCCATGCGGTATATGCCAAAGCAAAAAATATGTATCTAGAGCTTTGGCTTGGGTTTGTGCAAGCAGTAGACAGTACCACTCCAAGCTGTCTTTAAAGACTGCAGTAAAAGGTTTATGATCTGTATTTACTAGCGTGGGTGACTTGTAATAAATGTACTCCAATGGTGTAGTGCCATGTCCAGCACTGATTGCTCCAACAAATGAGTACTCCTCTTCGCTAGAGTCATTTGTAATCATGTAACAGTTTGACTTTCTGCCTGGAAAAGCATAGTTTTGTCACACTGGTTTATGCCACTACATCTCTCACAGCATTTTCAGAGACTATGACAGCTGTTGGTTTTGTATTTACTCCCACATTATTCTGTACTTTAAACAAATGTTTCTCTTTCTTTACTCTGAATGTTCTAGATGCTGTTGAGGCTTTGTTTCCTTAAAAAAAAGCAACCAAACAATAATGTGTATTATGAACACGTATATTATTTTCTTTTTTTTTGTAAACGGATTTAACAGTCTGTTTTCTTACTTGCTGTAAGAGCTTCTCTTTCTTCTGTTCTATCTCAGAGGTTACAATAATTTTGCTGGGCAGCTCCAGAATTGATAGTTGTTTTTTTGTTATTTGTTTGATCTGTGTTTTTGTTATTGGGTGGTGGTGGTGTTGTTTATGGATAGTTTTTTGTAAGAACTTCTGTGCTATTTTATGGGCTTACTGAGTAGTTGTGACCAAATACTGCTGTCTGATGTATGTGTGGAATATGGATTGCCTTCAGTATTTTTGGGTCGTATCTTGCAAAGGAGCAGGAATTTCCAGTCATGTAACCATCCTGGGTTACAGTTCGGTTCCTGTAAGAAGAAAGCTTAAATAGATCAGAAATTCTTCAACCTGAGGAAGAGGCAGTCCAAGAAAAAAGAGTAAAAACCTGAATGCAGGGAGCAAATTAATAGAGAGGGATTACAGCAGCAGCATGAAATTATGAGGTAGGGCAGCAAAAAAACCCCACAACACAAAGTAAATTTCAATGCAGAAGTAAATTCTGGAACTCCTTGCCACATGATATTGATAACAGAAATGTAAATGAGTTAAAGAAAACAATTAGACACAGTAATGAAAGAAATATTTATATGTAAACAATTGTTGATATCCCAATTTTTTAAGGGAGAGGAGAACACACCTTGGAGCTATGAGAAGAAGATGATCGCCTACACTTATATTGCAGGAGAAACTGGCATTTTGGGAACAGGTTTTGTGCAACTGGGGCTGTAGATAGGGAAAGCATTACTATTTGTGCAGTGCCATTCATAAAATTAAGAACTACTGTCAGATTTCACTGCTTCTGCAGAGAGGCAGAGGGAAGCCTTGCCTGCAGAAGAGAGCTCACACACACACACACACACATACATGTAGTGCATTAAACTCTTCAGGTAATCAAGGGAAATTAATTCAAACCGTTTAGTCAGAAAGTCAGTTTGCTACTGCAGTGTTTTCAGTTCGAGCACCTTCAATAAACTGCACTCACAGCTTCTGCAGAATGTTGACACTTCTGTTCTTACTAAAATGATGCATCTCTGCCTCTTTAGGTCTCACCTTAGCACTCACACTTTTTTGTATCCTGTTTGACATAACACCTCCTATTTCCTGACAGGAACTGTGTACATTTAGACTACCTTACCTTTACGGTTTTGTGCTTTGTCTCCTGAGTTGTTCCTGGACAATGAGCGAGCCTAGAGATGTAACGGGCAGTGCTTCGCCACTGGGGTAAAATTTTTAGTTCATGCACGTGTTGCTGTTGGTTGTATTTTCCAGATGCTGAGATTTGGTGTTTCCTCATGAGTAGTCTCTTATAACAAGTGACTGTAGTTCTGATGATGAGTTTTTAATTGAATTAGTGTTTCTTCTGGCAGTAACTACTGAAAACCATGGCTGATATCCTGACTTCTTTAAATTAGTGGAATAATAACTGCATAGATGAAAACCCTCTGCTGTTAAGTACACCAAGTATTTGAAAGACAACTGTAAGACTTCACTCTTACATAGTTTAAAAAAAAATCTTATCTCTATGGGTCTCTAATATAATTGTTATCTATAGTGCTATTAAGGATGTTAAAAAGGCTATCAGATTTCAGCATAAAGTGATGTGACAGTTCACTCTCTGTAATTATATTAGTTTTTAAATATTTGAATTCTGCATATTTTAATTGGTTTGCAAGGTGCCCCAGGTAACTATTGTTTCACAGCATGTGGTTTTACTGAGGAATTATAAGATTAGCACAAATTTCAGCTACATTTTTCCAGATGAGAGGATCTTTCTATTTTGATTCCAAGGCTTGTTTTTAGTTAGTTAAGGCAATACAAAAATAAATAAACTCAACATACTTATTCATCATATTGATTGCTAGTATTAATATGTTAAATAAGGTGCTGACTAGAAAATAAAAGAATTTATAATTAAAAAAAAAAAAATCTTGTTTTTTCTTTTTTTAATGTGTACTATTTAAATTAAGGATCCATTTTCACCTGAAACCTGATTACTAAGTGAAAGTTTTCGGTGTGTTAAGTATGCCAAATAACTTGAACATAGAAATAATCGGCCTGTAAATAATAAAGTTACCCTACTCTGCCCAAGACCTTTCATTTGTGATAAACAAGTATGACTGATACAAAGGATGGGACTAGTTTAGTGACAGCTCTGAAACATGGTTATTTAAGCATTTATTTTCCCCAAGTAGAAGGTGGACATTTCTCAATATCTGTAAAGTGTGTGTGTTAGGGAAGGTTTAGGTTGGATATTAGAAAAAGATTCTTCACCCAGAGAGTGTTTGGGCACTGGAACAGGTTCCTCAGGGAAGTCGTCACAGCACCAAACCTGACAGAGTTTGAGAAGTGTTTGGACAATGCTCTCAGGCACATGGTATGATTCCTGGGGATGGTCCTATGAGTTGGACTCAATGACTCTTGTCGTTCCCTTCCAAAACAGCATATTCTATGATTCTGGGATTTGTTTTATTGGGACAGTCCGACAACAAACAGATGGTGCATACAGGCATGTTTAGGTGCAGGTGATCAAGAAAAGAACTGGAGATGAAAGAAAGGCCATGCCATGCTGGTGAAAGAAAGTTAAAGATCCTGTAGCCTCAGTGAAGCTATTCCACAACACACCAGTCGAGCATGATCCCAGTTTGAACAGTGTCATTTCCATTGGGTTAATTCTCTGCTGTGAAGAACTTATTCTGATGTTTCTGTCCTCTTTGCAAAATATTGCTTAGCTGAATTTATTTTTGTACAAGTCCTTGAGGTTTTTTTTTATTATTACATCACTGCTTAAAGCTTTGCTTGGCCTCAGTGGCAGTTTTGCAATCAAGGAGAGCACTGTCAAGCGTTGTAGAGCCTGTAGTGCACAAACACGCATTGAATACTGTAACTCAACTGCCCCCTGCAGATTCAGCTTGCAGTATTGTTTTTAGAAAGTAGAGAAAAGTACCATAGATTCCTCTAACTGAAAAATGAGGGTCTTCCACTTACGCAATATCGTGACCCACCCACTGAGGAAAATCATCCCTACGTGTTACACGTTTCATCCTCATCTGGTCTTCTTAATATACTCTATCAAATTTTCTATTTCAATTACCTGTGACTTTCTTGTTGCTAGATAATATCTTTTTTTCAGAAAGAGCAGATTGTCATAAAATGTGGGCTTGTGTTGTGCCTTCACAAATTGTGGGTTGATTCTGAAAAGATCAGATACTATTACTGTGTGGCTACTGTCAATTTTACCAACATGACCTTATCTCTCTGAATAGGATGGGCTTTGTCATTGCTGAGGAAAAATCTACATTTGATTTTGAATGGAAAGTATATACTGATTATTTCTTAAAATATATACTCTCTGGTATAATGATTGCAATTGGTTTGTACCTATACTGCAGCTTCACCAAAGATACACCTTTTGACACTTTTAATTGACTGTTATTTACACAGCCAAAAATAGGTATTTGACTGAAAGTATTTATGACATAAATATCTCTGAATTAAAAATAAAACAAACAATGGAATTATGGAAATGTATGTATCAAGCCTGAATTTCAAGGGATGCAAATATTGCAGCCATATAACTTATTTTCTGCAATGTAGTAAAACTATAATTAATTACTCCATAACTGTCTGTTCCCATCATCCATCTATACTTACTATGCTATGAATGCTACTGGGTAAATGGAATTGAAATGTCAGATTTTATATGAATTTGTGATGTAATATCTAACAGAACACATCAAATGAACAATCAATACAATAAAAATAGTTAATCAGAAAGTAATCTGTGTCAGCCAAACGGATAGATAAATCTCCTGTTGTTTGTGTGACTACATATAGCCAAAAAAAAAAAACCCACAACAAAAAAAAAGAAAGACTGAATATAAGTTTTAGAGGTAATTTCTTCACCTAGAGTGCCTTCTGGTCATGTTATTTCGTGATGTACATGCCTCAAAGACAAACATTGTGGTAAATGTGATCCATGACTTTGACAAACAGATCTGTGGTTAAAACTCACAGAAGCAACTCAAAGAATGTTGCGCTTACATGTCACATCTCTGAATGCATCAGTTAGGAATAACAATTTACATGTAAAGTTAATGTACTCTTCTGTTTCAGAAATTTTGTGTAGATACCATGAAGAAATTGTGCTCAAGTCAAGCTGCTGATGTTTCGGAATTGCAAGTTAGTTGTCAAAATGATTTGGTGCATTGTGAGAATAAGGACAAGACTGGGAAAGCTCCACTAGTGGAACCTATGATGATTAAAGGTCAGTTAAGCCTTATGGTTTGAACTATTAATATAACAAAGCTTAACCCCAGCCCTGATGAAAGACTGACATACAGGAGTATCTTGTGTTATTTCACTTGGAATCTGTGGCTTAGTCAAAAGGGATGAAAAGTGAACATTTCTGTTCTTCCTCTATAAATGCCATAAGGCAAATTCATCCAAGCTCTCAACGGCAGCATGGTATTAAACTCTGTTTGACACTCCAGCATGAATATTCAGTGGGTTTGAGGAACAGACGTTTGGAAAAGATGTGCTTTCCTTTAGCTTTAGGGTGATGCTTACACATAATCTGTTAGAAAAGAATACCTATCCCAAAAGGTTTTAAGATGAACAAGCATTTTGCATAAAGATATGAGGATGTCTTCAACTCACATTTTTGTATTTTGAAGAAAAAATAATATTGAGCAAATTGCTTGACTGATAATTGGTTTTAAAGTCACCATTTGTTTGCATTTCCCATAATTTTTGATAGTTAGTTTTTCTACTTATCTTTCAAGTTTTTCCTTTCTCAACTGAAGTTGAGAAGCTAGATGACAAGAGGACAAATCCAAATTATATTTATTGTATAGATATAATAACTTTGCAGTTAATAGAAAAAAATATTTCATTACTCTATCAGTCACAGGTTATATCTGAAATACAATCATATCACATTAATTACAACACCGGAACATTTGGAAGACTAAAGCACAAATACTCATCCTTACAGCATTTGTTAACTGATAATTGATATCGATATAAGAACCTCCCATAAGGTTTCTCTTTATTTTCTTGTCATTCAGTGTGTCAGACTCTTAAAAAGGATTGTCTATTTGAAACTATGTGTATTAAAACTTCTAAAAGCAATATAATTTTTATAGAGAAGAATTACAGTGTCATGCTGAATATTCATTAATCCTTATTGCTGTGGAAGTTGATTGTTTGAGGACTGATTTTTGAAAGTGCTATGGTTTCACGCCAGCTGGCAACCAAGCAGCCACCCGCTCACTCCCCCCAGTGGGATCGGGAACAAAATTGGAAGGGTAAAAGCTAGAAAACTCATGGGTTGAGGTTAAGACAGTTTAATAGGGAAAGCAAAAGCAACATACACAAACAAAGAAAACCAAATAATCATCAGGCAGGTGTTCAGCCATCTCCAGGAGAGCAGAGCCCCATCACGCATAACCTTTACTTGGGAAAACAAACACCATCACTCCAAATGTCTCACCATTCTTCCTTCTTCCTCCCACTTTATATGCTTAGTATGATGTCAGATGGTATGGAACTTCAGACTTTGGTCAGTTTGAATCACCTATCCTGGCTGTGTCTCCTCCCAGTTTGCCATGCACTCCCAACTTCCCTTGCCAGTGTGGCATTATAGAAGCAGAAGAGGCCTTGGCTCTGTGTAAGCACTGCTCAGCAATAGCAAAAACATCTCTATATTATCAACCCTGTGTTCAGCACAAATCCAAAACATAGCCCCATAGAGGCCACTATGAAGACAATTAATTCTACCCCAGCCAAAACCAGCACAGAAAGGTATTTTAATATCTGGCTGCTTTGAAATATAATTCCACATATGTTATTTTGTGACTTTGAACAATCTCCCTTCAGGCTTTATTTTGTCAATGTTTAATGAATTGATTAGATTTTATAGGGGTAAATGGTGAAGCTTACATATTGGTAGCTACAAAGGACAGTATCTCTGTTTAAACCTCACCAAAAAAAGAAAAAAAAAGAGTACCAGCATGGGTTAATGTGGTACTCATTTTTGTCAAGGGAACTACCTGGGAACTACCTGCAAATCACTGAGGCTTGAGTTTGAAAACCGCTGTCCATGCTACAGGGATCAGTTGGATCACGTGCATGGGTTAGTCTCTGTGGGGTGAGGCAGGCATGGGAAGCAGGGGGAACACACCTGAAGAAAATATGACCAAAGCTTCCTTACTGAAGTAAGCCAGACATAAAGGTTATGCTGAGGACACAGAAGTCAATGCTTGTGTAGGTGCTTTACTTGATGGGTCTAGACTCCTCACAGACATGGAGAGTCACACAGGCTAAAGTTTCAAAATGGCGTTACAGTCAAGATTCTTCAAATATTTTTCTGAACGCAGCTGCTTGGTTCATGCAGTGAGAAGTGGAGTCGTACAGTCACTTCCTGTGCCTCTTACCTGCCCTAGAAAGAGGGCTGCCTCTGTCAGCCATGCTACCAGCAAAGTTTCTTCCTTCTCCTTCATGTTGCTTGTCAGCTAATGCAGTTAGTGGTTCTGGACACTAGAAAACAGACTTGGACTTTCTGCAACAGTTCATTATTTGGACCTTTCTACTGAACATGTTTCAGCACTATGTTGAAACAAAACAATATTGCTGACTGTCTGAGCTTCCCTGCTCAAAGTCTGCCTGCCACCTCTCTATATTCACTCAGAGGCACTAGCATCTAGTCTTTTGTCCACCCCATTAAGCCTTATTTATATGTCCTTGATAATCCTTTTTCAGACTCTTGAACAGCACTTGATTTTTATTGCAATTTTTCACTTTCTAGCAAAAGTCTATTTGTCCCAGCCAATTCTCCATTTGTTTTTAATTCTGAAACAATCTGATTGAGAAGAAAGCCTTTTCTAGAGGCTTTTTAAAGTTTGGAAATATCTTCTCTTAGCTATTCTTGCTCTATTTCCTTTGCTCCTCATTCCATCAAGATCCTAATGTTTGTTGTAATATCCCTTCTGAGAAAGCAGAGTTTATTTTCCTGCTGGTTGAGATTCACATATCAACCGTCATGGTAGATTTCTGACTTAACTGTTCCTGTGTCCAGTAGACATATTTTTTTAAAAACTTAAAGTATCAGTCAGGCTCATTTTTTTCCTATCCATTTATTTCCCTGAGTTTATGACTAGAGACCTGTGCTTTGAAGGTAGCTTTGTGTGTATGACCAAGAGTATTAGAGAAAAAGTGATGTTAGAACTGCTAAATGTTTGAGGGCCTCTGGTACTGCGAAGATTCACAGCACTTAACTTTTGCCTGCTAGCACAGTTCTTTGCCATGTATCTGATTCAAAAGCTCATCAGTCACGTCTCCTGCCTCCTTTATCATGAAAGTGGCCATTAGATAATTTGAAGTTCATCCTATATACTGTATTTGCTTAGACTACTCATGGAACACTAGATAAAGAATAACCTTTGTTACTGAAGGTTTCAAACAAACTCCTGGTACTTCAGTTCAGTACACACATAGAAAATCAAGAAGTAGTATCATAATGATTCTTTTTTTGCAAGACTAGGAAAATACTAGGAAATTGCCTTGGAGTATATCCCTTTACAAACTCTGTCTGAATTGGAGCATAGTGTGTATTTGAGCTGGGCAGATTGAACCTTGTCCAAAGAGCAGTGATGGATTGTACACTGACATACCCAAATTAAAGCTAAAGGTTTTTCTGAAAAATGTATGTTTGTATAGCCCAAAATTATTTGGCTTTATTCAAATAGGACTGTAGAATTATACAGGAGATTGGATTAGATGATAAAACAGTTCTTCCTGGCCAGCCAAGGGATCCCCATGAGTCCATTGTTGCATGCAGCAAGCTCGCCTGTTCCAGAGAGTATGCTCTGCTAATTCACAAGATAATGGATTTAGAAAATATGTCAAGACTAATAACACAGACTCACTCCTGTGGGTTTTGAGTGGGAGGAAATGCACCATTCACTGACTAATCTTTAAACTTCTACTGATGAATGTTAAGCCATCCTCCAAAGCACCAACCTATTTCAAATTCCTAATAAGGATACTGAATATGTACTCTCAAAAAAAAAACAAAAAAACCTAGTTACAGAGACAGTTAGTATTTCTTACCAAAGGTCAGATAGTTCTGAAAGGAAAAGCAACATGTTTTTCTTTCAGTTTTAAAACCTCTATTGTCTTTCCTAATGGAGTTCATGTTAATAAAGGTAGGATTTATTATTCTTATGTCTAAGAAATTGAACCTTTTTCCTCTGTTGCAATTAAACCTCAATAGGCCACTAAAAATATTATTTTCTAATATTTGACTGAGCTTGAATCCATTAGAAATAGTAGCAATACCTGCAGGATAACCCTCAACAGAAATCTGCTGTATCAGCTTCTCTTTAACCTTGAAAGTTGTTCTATGTGGAGTTTCTGAAACATTGCATAATCTTCTTGCTCATGGCTTAGTTTCTGGAATTGTTACAGTCTGCACTAAAACAGTATTTATGTTGATTTTATTTATTGATGTTAGGATATTTTAGGGAAGGTATTTATTTATACTGTCTTTAGGCACTTGATTTAGGAGGCTAGTGGCCTTGAGAAAGAAAAAGAGAAATGGGCCTTCTGATTGTACTTTAGGATACACATATAATGTCTAATAAATTTGGCAGCAAAGATGGTTTAAGAAATTTTTACCCCTGTGCTGTAACTTGCTGTCCCATTAGTTAAGACAATACATGAGGCTATGTCACTGTGCTCTAAAACCAGTATTAAAATGAATTAAACATAGCAAACCCAAAAACTTAAAAAGCAAAACATAGAATTCTAAATTATTTGAAAATAAGTTGCTCTTTCTTTTTGATGTCATCACAGAGATTTTGCATTAATGTTCTGAATTGGGTGCAGGGGATAAGCAATATGAATTAGGAATCCTTTACTCTATGCATGTGTGACAACTCTCTCCAGCTTCCACACTCAGCTCAGGCTTTGATTAGAGCAAACCTGTTATTAGATTCTTTGGCTCCTCTGGTCTTGTAACTATCTTAAAGAAAAAAAAAAAGACTCTTGGGTTTTGGGCTGTAAACACAAAACTTATTCTTGGCTGCCACATCTTCTGAGCTCAGTTTAAAAAAAGGCGAGAAATTTGCTTAAAATACGGAGATCATCTAATTTCAGAGGATGGTGAGTACATTTTAGTAAATTATATTTAAACATTTTCAGTCAGCTTTGCCCTTAACCAAACTCTAACTTGCTGTACAGCAGGGGTAAGAAAGCATAGGCTTCCACATTTTACTGATTTATTAGATATGGTCGGTTTTAATTGCAGTAATATGCAGAGGTTCCAGGCAGGAGCTCATGGATATGGTTGCAAAGATATCGCAGTGTTATATGTAGTGTAACTAAAGGGTACATCATGTCAGTCCCCTCTCCCACTCTCTGGCAGGTTCTGCTCCTCCAGCCTCTTGACGAGCAGCACTTCAGAGCCTGGGAAAGTGTGGTTCATGGTGCCCTGGGCCTTGGAACGTGTGATGAGGCAAGAAATATGTGATTGTTTAAAACTTATGGCAACCATTTCTGATCTGCAAGAGCTGTTGATACACTGGAGATTTATTTTATACAAGGCAGTGGCACAACAGTGGAAATTAGATCTCAAAAAGTTCAATAAAACCATCAAGATAGACTAGAAAAAAAACTGAGAAAGAAAAAAAAATTAAAGGGACAGTTAAAGAGGTGAACAGTTGTGTCTCTCAGGAAACTTAAGATTTTTTTAAGAAATTAAATTTAAGATTAAACTTTTCCAAACAATAGGTTAGTAGATTCCAGAGGGAGATAAACATTATTCGTACATGAATTGCAACTCTACAGTTTATATGAAATATTTGGACTGTAGCACTTAACAGTTTTTAAAGATACACTACATCATCACATGAAGCAACGGTTGATGGATATTAGCTCAAGGAACAATCCATTAGTTTTATGGGCTCAGATTCTGCTGTCACTGAACGACTTTTAGTAGCAGTCCCTAAGGAATTAGTTCTCATTAGCACTGAGGAGCATTAGAACCAGGCTCACAGCAAATAAAATGCTACTGTTCATAAAAACACTTTGGTTTATGCATGTGCCTTCCGTTCTGTGCATTTTCACTTATGTGATGTGCAGAAATAAAGATGTGGTTCTACCATGTTGAATCCATAATATTATTATGCAGAATATTTCACAATTACTTTTTTCAAGTTAGGCATAAATAAACAATAAATGCTGTGTGGTTGAATGTTAATTTATGCACTGTAAATACTGATCTTAAATATTTACCATAGCTATAAAAATGTGTTATGATCACACAGCCAAAGGCATTTAGGTGTGCAGCCAGCCTTGTATGTACATGAGTTGGGGCCTCTAGCACTTGTTTCATCCAACCAAGAGTCTTGATGGGTTGGGTTGCTTCTGTTGCCTACATTTTGAATAAGGCCAAAATGGAGAGTTATGACAACCATTTCTGATCCTGAAATTTGTGAAAAACAGCAAGTATATTCTGAGAAAAAAAAAACAAACTCAAATCCTACTCACTTGAAGATACAAGTGAGATAAATGGAAAATTTTAGTCTGCAGAGCACTACCCTTCCACTGTAAAGGCAAACGTAATTATATAAATTGTTCCAGGAAGAGCAGAATTAATGAAATTTGGTTTAATAAGTATTCAGGTCTGTTGTCCCCTACTGCTCCTCTCTGCCTTTCCTGATAATAACCAAAACTCTCTTTATGGTGCTCCTATCAAATGAAAAAGAGCAGGTCTGGAGCTATGTGTGTGTTGAATGGCCAACCAATGTGCACATGCTGACTTATCCTGCAGTCTGCTGCCAAACAGAGTGTATAACAGCTGTGTTCTGCGTCCTTCTCTTTCAGTGGAGGAACTAATTCAAATCTTGCTTTTGTAACCACGGTAAGACTTCTGCCCCCTTTTCAAATCTGACTGAAATTGGCAGAAATAAACTTGTAAAAGTACCAAAGAGATTGACGAATGGATAGACAGCATGATGACATAAGCCTTGTTTTCTTGGCAGGCTGACATGACCTATCTGATTAGGTAATTCAATGTTGAGGGTAATAGATTTTTTTTTCCAAACAGGGAAGTAAATTGCATTGATTTCAATATTCAGAATCCCCTTGGGATTGTTCAGCTTGTCTATTCATTGCTTAATGCTTTATTGAAGTGTAAATATATACATTTGAGAAGGCATCCTGCACAAGTTTGGTACTGGGGACAGCTGTGATTTAGTCTGGCCTGATGACATTAATTTTCTTTCTCCTTGAGCTGTCTTACTTAGAACCGTATAATTTTGTTTGCACATGTTTGGGAAAGAAGAAAGTCTAGCTATGCCACCCATGAGCAATCTGTACCTTATATCCGTATTAGCAAGTCTAAGTGCACAAACAATATTTCCCTTGCTGAATCACAGGGATTAGCTTATTCTTTCAGTGCCTGTTTTATTCATTAGTTTACTTTTACTGATATCAAACATAGCCAAATTGCAAATGAACTACAAACCTGGAAATGGTTATTAACAAGATAGTGGCCATATGTGTGAATGAGATCTTCAATACATTTGTAATCATATGTTTGGGATTTTGTTTTGGTTTTTTCCTTTTGATGCCTAGATCTGGAAATATTTTGCTAATTTAGTAGCAGGGGACTTGTGGATAAATTGGTCTGTGATAGACTGTGTACTGGTGTGGCCAGACAGCTGCTTGATTAACTTGGTGTTTATTTCTAGCCTTGAAAAAAACTTATAAAGGAAAGGATCGCAACTTCAGAAAGAAATTATTACTAACCAGTTTTTCAGGGAGAGACACGCCAGCCACGGAGAGTCTCAGGAGGAACACAATGGGATTTGGAGACTACTGAGAGATTATACAATTATTGTCTTGGTGAAGGGGCATACGATGGTTGCAAGAGTAAACTTGGCAGGATTCGTGTTTGAGAAGCTTGGTCCCATAAAGAAGGACATGTTTGACAGGCACAGCCTTGCTGGGAGGTCAGTTAGTGCACTACTGTAGGTTGTTTCAGGTTGTGTCGTAGCAAGTTAAACGACCAGGACCAGCTGTACCCAAAGCAGTGTTTCACGTGGTTTTGCAATTTCAGGTGAAACTTTTTGCTGTAGAAATACAGTATCCTCTCAGCTCTATTAAATTATAGTCTTCCCGATAAACTTCAAGGGTGAGCTGCTCTTGGCAGGGAGACTTTGGTGATGCCTCCACCACTACCTCAGCTCCAGCTGGTCCCACTGCCACTACTTCAGCCCTGGCTGGTCTTATTGCTACCTGGCTTTTCCCCACCACAGCCTGAGCTGAGGGATGGGATGGTTCTAGAGGAGGGATGTGGGACACTCACTGACTGATCCTTATGGGGTTCTGCAGGAGACCAGTGGTCCCATGTGTCTTGCGGAGCTTCCTCTAGCTTCAGGGAAGTGGTAGGACCACCCAAGCATGGGAGGAGACTGGGCCTCCTGACAGCAGTCTGCAGCTCATCAGTGTGAGCTGTAATGTGAAACTGTTGCTGTGCCCAGATAAAAAGCAGGGGCTGCCCCAGCCCTTGAACTCCCAAGAGGCCTCCAGTGAGCATCTTTGCCCTTTTGGAAAAGGGCTGCTGCTTTCTGAAAAGCTTGTCCTCAGTGTTACTTCAAGCTAGTTTCTGTGGATATAAAGAAATGTACTTCAACACTTTTCATTTTAACCTCAAGCCACTTTCAAGACTATGTCTCTGTTATTCCCTTCAGAATAAGCAGCAAGCGGGTTTTCTGGCTCTAGGAAATCCCAAGGTAACACCCTGCTTTCCTAGCTGCAGTGGCTCGTTTTGTCAGGCAATGAAACACAGGAGCATGGGAGCACATCTGTGGTAAGGATGGTATGTGTGGCTCATGGCAAGTGGACTACTCTTCTCTTACTATGGTCAGATAATTTTATCTGCCTGCTTTTATGCTGTTAGTGATTATATCATTTAAACGTTTCAATAAACCTTAGTTATATGTGCATAGGTAGCAGGGAGTGGTCAAATTAGAGGTATTAGTACTATGCGAAAAATGAAACATTGTTTTCTTTGCTTTTATGATTGCCTGTTTGAATTGTACTTTTTTTTTTCAGGCCAAGGGCAGAGTCTTCCATTTCCTACAGTTATTTTTTGTTAATTTTTCAGGCTTAACAAGTAACTATGAGGCAGAAAAAGAAGAGGAAGAAGAGCATGACTACAGCTACGTGGATGAAAACATAATTGAAAACATAAGAAAAGCATTTCACGACAGCAGCATTGGGAATAAACCCGCAATCTCTGAAGGAAGAAGGTGAGCATAACCTATGGTCACTTATGCAAACAAGAGCAGGCAGAGTGATTTTTCAGACTGGACAGTAATCTTCACTCCCTGAAACAAGAGAAGTTTTTCCCTTGGGGCTGCTGCTGTTACCCCAAACGTCCTATGAATATGGCAGGAAAGGCACCTCTGAGCTGCCGCCTGTGACCCCCTGTCACTCTTAGCTGTGTCACCTTTGTTAAAGCGGTACCTATCATTGTTCTGGGGATAGAAGTGCACAGGCATTTCTTCTGATTTGTACCAGTTTGCTGTAACAAATTATAATACTCTGAATTCAATCCTTTTCCTCTTTTTGGAAATGGATGCCTTGTGACTAAGTTTAGTCACTTTAAAAGCTTTCAGGAATAATCTGTGTTTTCATTTAAACCTCAAGGTTCTGCTCCAGCAATCTGCAGAGGCTTTAGATGCTAATGAGGAGAGTCTTTGCTTCTAAAGATCTCTAGGCATCATTTCCAGCTAAACAGAGATGAGACTTTTTCTAGGTATGAGTGAAACTATGTGGTCTCAGCTCTTTTCACTCACAACTAAACCTTGTATGAACTTCATTTGATTCAGCTGAATGGCTTCTTTTGTGAAGAGAAATTCATGAAAACACAGAGAAACTTGAAATTTTTTGTTTCAGAGATTTAAAAAAAATATTTTTTATGAAGCAGTATTTTATTTCAAAATGTAATGTCCATTTATTTTTAACTGGCATGCAATGTTAATGTTGTATTTGAGTTAAGCAACATCATGACTCTGAAATAAGCTGTTATTTTTTTTCTGAAATGTTCAAACCCCTCAGAAACATGACATCCAGGGCAGTGTGTGGTATACGTGAGACCATCTATTCCCCTGCTCACAGCTGCAGAAAGTCCAAAGTTACAGAAAAGACTGAAAAATGAAACAAAGTAGTATGTTTCACGTAACACATTATTTCCTCAGTCCACATACCACTGAGGGTGGGGTCTTGCTCTGTCATGTAAAGAAGCTGAGAAAGAGAGAATTAAATTTTCTTTTGACTAAAATACCCCTTGCAGCTATAGGTATTAAAGGAAAAGCATGCTCTCAAGAAGCAAGCCAGGTAGAGGATCAGCATCTGATTATAGTACTTACTGTTATGGCATCAGCTCCTTTAAGACTTTATCCACCTGCCCTTTAAACTCCCTATCAGTGGAGGTAAGGTTTCACTTTATTAGTTGTCTTCTAGTGGGGCTCTAGCAAAACATGAAAGAAAGGACCTTTGCCACCTTGAGGGAGATCACTGTCTGGATTATAAAGCAGTCTCATAAATTATCATCCTTGATGGCTCTCACAAGTATCCACCCTCTGAAATTATTAGCTAAGGAGCATGTGGCTCCTCCAGCTGCTGGTCTCCCCCAGCCATCAGAAATGCTCCATTATGGCTTTTTTCTAGCATTTAAAATTTCTATTAAGCTTCCTCACATGTGAGCATTGAGAGAAATACAGATTTGATGTGGGCATATACAATTAACCTTCAATGTGGGCGAAAGTCTTACAAAATATCTAGCCAGATAAAGTAACCAAACTAGCTCTTTTAGGCTTATACGTAGAGAAATAATGCACCAAAATATGTTGTCTCTTTCACCTGTGCCAATACTTAATATCTGATCATGTTAGTTCTTCAAGAATTCATCAGTCAACTATTTCCCACCCATAGTCCCTTCTTTCCTCAGGATATTTATGCTATTTTTTAATGTCCACTTTTAATTATTTGGTATGTATGATCTATCAAAATTGAATCTATTGATCTAAATTACTTTCAAATAGAGTCATTAGGAGGAAAAATAGTTTTAATGAAATAAAGAAGTAAACCTCAACAGTCAGGTCTACTTAAAAAAACCCAGTATTTATTATTTGCAGTACTTCACCAGTGTCACCCTCAAAATCTTTCCACAGTCAGGGCTGAAGCATGCCAGGATGATACTACTAAGAGTTAGTCCTCATCCTAAGCAACAGTGAGAAGGAAGAAGAGAGACTTGCCTCAGGTCATTACTATGTTAATTTTGATAGAAAAAATGTGCCCAGTGGGTCAATGATGTTAATATGACCTCATCACTCCAGAACAATAAGCAATTAAGCAAGGGACTTCACTACGGATGCATGAGCTTGCTATAGCAACAACCATCATTAACATATTTTATTTAACCTTTCATTAAAGATTCAAGAGAAATTAAGAAAAAAACACACCACCCTGGAAGCATTTAAAATGTGTGGCTTTCTTTTTAACAAGACAAGTTTCTCCTCTTTTACTGCCATGAGTTGTTTTTGCTTTTTTAAGGAGGAAAGCCTTCAGTTTGACAGTCTTTTAGGTGGTATTAAAGATGTCAACAGTGGCTTTTCTTGGGTGTGAGAAAATTGGAAGAGAAAAGGTCCATTGCACTGAATTGGAATACCGGTGGTGCTGCTGTAATGTCTCCTCCTATGTCCCTGCAGACAAAAATGAGAGGCGTGCATGCAGGAACAGCAGTAGCAACAAAAGAATAGCAGCAAAACCAGAGAAGGCAGCTTCTGTCTCCGGTCCTGATAGCTCCTTGTAATCTCATGGCTGAAAAAACAATGTGGTCCAGCTGCCTGGAGAGCTGAAAATGAGTACTAGTGTCAGACTGTTTCAGGACGTTGCTTTCTGGACTTGAATTGCACATAAGTGCCAGAAAAGGAATGGTCTCAGCTGACTAACCTTCTGTGCTTATTAAATAGGAGACAAAAAAAAGGAAGAGTAGAAAAGATAGAGTAATGCAGTAGGGAATGAAAAAAATACACAGCTGTGTTTTCCTGTTCTCATGAACTGAACAGCTGAGGGGGTTTTGTTTAGGTAAAGTAGATTTTTGTATTTTCAATTTGTACCAAATTTTTAAAGTAATTGTATGAAACAGATTGAGGAGCAACTTTTTTTTTTTTTTACCTTGGTTGTGCTGAGATTCAGGTTCCTTCATAATTGAAATGTAGAGTCAGTACTACAAGTGAAAACCAGCCTTTCTGACTCAACCACGTCTTCATTAGTCCTTTTGTACTGTTTTTCTAAGACATTTCTCTGGAGCTTTTGTACCGCTGACCCTCTAAGTTAGCTGTTTCTGTCTTAGAAAAGCCTCTGGCTGAAAGGCTGCGGCAAACTTTGTAGCCTTGGGGATGTTGGAGTGAGGAACCCAAATCCATGAATGTAGTTGTGTGTTCTCAGCACTTTTGAAAGTCTCCCTCCTGAGTAACTTTCATCTACTTTGCTCATTTTCATTGTTAGGTAATTTTTCAACTGCCACTTTCCCCTAATATGTGAAGTGGAGCTTTTTTCTAGGTTGCAACCAATGGTGATTCCAGAAGGAAGAAAGAATCAAGAGGGAGCAAATAAAGGGTGCTACTCTTAGAGCTGCAGATCAGTTCTTAGCTTTGACACAAGCAGGACTTCAAACAGGACTTCAAACCCTCAAAACAGTTGTGGGTTCAGAGACTCCAAGGGCAGGGGAGACTACCACGATTATTTAGATGTTCTAGATGTTCTTCCTACACGCACAAGCACAGCAGATTCAAACATTCAAACACCCCAGACAGCAGATTCAAACATTTTTATAGTGTGGCAGAGCTGGGAACAGAGCCCACTAGTGAAGTCTTAGTACACTGGCATATTGCCATTAAATACTAATTAAATTATTAATTAACTTCCCTCCAGGCCTACACCTTTGTTACATCAGCCCCAGGGCACACCTCTTGGAAGCCGCTCTCCAAGAGGGAGGTATCTCTTCTCCCATGTCTGCCAGACCAGCAACATGACACAGGCACCATGGTTGTAATCATACTGGAGAAACGCTAGGAAAAGTTTTTGCTGGAGTCACAGTTTATACTGACTAGATAAGTTCTTTGGCCCCATGCAGGTAAAATATTTCCCTAAACTGCATAAGCTAAAAGAAAAATTTACTGGTATGAGTTTCACTTATTTAGGCAAAATTGCTGGCATAGCTGTGTTGGAGTCATATATTAGCTTTATTTTTTGCTATAGTCTTGGGATTGCTGGTGTAATGGTACTGACAAACCATTTTACAGCACAGACAAGCCCTAACTTGTAGCCATTAATTTGACTCGAGAGCTCATTCACCTGTACTCTCTGTGCAATTTTTAGATCCAAAAGTAAAATTTTTTATTTCACCTTGTCATTTTGTTTTGTTTGTTTTCAGAAACATCTGAAGCAAAATAATTCTGAAATTAACTGGAAACAAGTAGGAAGCTCCGTCCTTCACACATTAAGATTGACCACAACTGTAAGAAAAAGCTACTCATGAAAGTGTCCTTCTTGTCTCATGAAGAGCAATGGGGCTGTAATTTACCTATAATAATCCCCCACGAAAATAAACTGCTTAGTTGTCCTGAAGAAGAAGTCAAACCAGCTAATGTCTCATAATCCTTTGAAGGGACAGAGTTCTTCTGTACATATTTATTAATGAATTCAGATAATAATGCCAAGTCCAATTCTTCATTCTCATTACACCTGAAATTCCAGTTATTTCCTGAATCACTGTAGGGTATAAGCAAAAGGAACATCCCTTACTGAAACAGCTGCATGGTTGTTTCCTTAGGTTTTTTTGAGAAGGGAAAGGTAGAAAGGGAAGGGATGTCTTAGGTGAACAATTGGCCAATTTCTTTGGCCAATCTTACATGCTTCAGGTTAAGACTCAAAACTGGAAATTACCAGATTCTGCCACTCTTTCAGATGATGAACAATGTACAAGTAATACTGTTGCAAAACATTTAATTTTTCCTGGAAAGCAATACCACTCCTCTCAGAGGGAAGTGCTACTCAGAAGGCCCAGGAACACCCAACTTAGATAGCATTGCCATCTCTATAACCCCTTGCACAGCTAATATTTAGAATCACACTAGAACTACTATATTCAGCAATGTTCTGAAAATGCAACCAGGAAGGATGGACAGAAGCTGGAGGTGAAAGGTTAGTGTTTGTGCTGACTCTACAAACTGAGATAAAGGCAC